TTTTTGTCTGCGTAAATTTGCGCTTAGCATTGTCTTCCAATGGCTGCGCCCGTAATTTACGAAGAACTAAAATATCCGTGTATGAAACTTCTTTTCTTTCAGCCCAATCTAAAGCTTGGTTAAAATCTTGTATAGCTTGCGCATCAGTCACTACACTTCTCACTTCAATGGGATCGTTCTCATCATCCTCACTGTCCATATCCTCCTCCTTATCAGCATCATTCGTCTGCTTATCTTCGTTCCATAAATTAATAACAGCAGGAGTACAAACAATGTTGGGATTCACTGTTTTCAATAAATCAACAACATCCAATGACACACTAATAACATCATCATTATTGGATCGCAAACGTTCTCTAATTACGCTTAAGGGGACATCGTCTTCTTCATCATCTTCATTATTGGTACAAAAGAGATTGTTCCAACATTTTTGAATAGTTTGCTGGTTAAGTTCATTCCAGGCCATATGTAAATCTAAAACAGCTTTGTGTAATCTTACTTTTTTTAAAGCCTCAGATAAGTTTTCAGGATTCTTTGATAAGACAGATAAAAGTAGAAACTTCCTATAGTATAGTTTGGTGAGTCTTATTATATTCTGGTCCATCGGTTGAATTAACGGTGTTACGTTGGGCGGCATGTACATGACGAAAATTGACCCATCCCTGCTCCTCAGTTGTTGCTCGGGAGGATGACTTGGTGCATTATCCAATAGTAACATCGCTTTTATTGGAAGCTTCTGTTGTTTTAAGAAACCTTTTACCTACAAATTGAAAACACATCTTCAAATTATGAATAGAGCATTTGTGATAATTGATTGTCATACCTGAGGGACAAAGCACCTGTGGAACCATTTCAGGAATATACTGCTAGTCATCCAAGCGGTTTTTGAACAGTCATAATTAACAGGGATATTAACATTTTTAAATGAGCGCGGATTTTTTGCTTTCCCAATTACCAGTGGCTTTATTTTGTGTGAACCATTAGCATTAGTGCAGGCTAGAAACGTTATTCGTTGTTTCTCCGGCTTTCTTCCCGGTGCAGATTTTTTCGAATGATGCAGCATAGGTTTTCTCTGGTAACATTTTCCAATAAAGGCCACTTTCATCTGCGTTGTAAATTTGTTCTATTCTTATATTTAGCTCGGTAATTGTTTTTATCAATTTTTCTTTGAATGGTTGCACTAATTGTGGTTGTGCTGATAATTTTTCACCAGATATAGACAGCAGTCGAATTCCAAATCTTGTTTTGAATCGTTGTAGCTACGAAATTTTCAGTTTCTTTCAGTTTTTCATTTAACAGTCTCGCTCTCTGTTTAAGTACCTCGCCACTAACTGGGACATGATTTTCCGTTGTTTTAAAAACCACTTATACAGAGAATTTTGCACGTATTGCACGTTCTTTGTAAAATTTGAGTTTTCATACGCTTAATTTTACAGATTGTTGCTTTCGATACTCCATATTTTTTGCTAACTGTGTCACTCCCGCACCTAGTGCAACTTCGTCTATGATTTTCACTTTCTCACTAAACTTTATACTCTTTCTTTTATAGGATGTGGATGCCATAGTCGTAAAATATATTAACGCGTGCAATGTATTCACTTAAGTTCAAAAATGAAATACATACGTACGTATAAACGTATCCTAAACGATCATACGACTGACCGAGTTTGTCGTATTTTATCGCAGAGGTGAATCCCCTACCCTACATCATAAATCGGGGACTCCCCGACGCCCGACATAAATCATCGAGGCTTCAGCATTTTACCTTCGCGCTGTTTCCGTGCTCCGAGAGTTGTTTACGTTATCGATCGCACACATTGTTTACGTTATCGCGCGTTCCGTTTGATCCTACAGAACGAAGTTTGTGTTTACATTAGCGCAAGTTTTCATTATCCCGTGTTTACGTTATCGAGCGTCTGCTGTATATCCGATACAAGTAGCGCCATCTATTATCGGATTATCCAACTGGCGTTGGAAAGAGCCAATGAGTTCTGTGTTGAACATTTACCGAAACATATCAAATGTTGATGGAAGTGTATGGTGATGATTGTTTATCTCGTAGTCGAGTCCACTAATAGCACACAAGGTTCAAAGAGGGTCGTGAGTCGCTAAATGTCTCTAAAAATTCAATGCATCGCATTTTGACCAAGAATTTGGGCATGAGAAAGGTGTGTTTACGTGCTCACGGATGACCAAAAATTGCTTTGTATTCAACTTTCGACAAACATCATTAAAGAGTCGAAAAAAGACAAAAACTTTCTGAACAACATTATGCTTGGTGACGAAACGTGGTGTTTTCAATACGATTCCGAAACTAAGCGTCAATGTGCCGAATGGAAGCATCCAAGAGTCCAGAGTATCGCGAAGAAGGAAGGTGGCTCTTATTGCACGATAATGCACCACCTCATCGATCGACACTTGTCCGTTTTTTTGACAAAAAATGGCATTTCAACCATCAACCACTCCCCATATTCTCCTGATATGGCACCATGTGACTATTTTCGGTTCGGTAAACTACATTTGGCTATGAAGGGTCAGCGATATGCCGACGTAGAGGCCATCCAAAGGGCGTCCACGACCATTTTGAAAGACGTGGTCAATGAACTATAACCATCATTCGAAAATCTTTTGGTCCGTGCAAATCGCGGTATTAACTCTGAAAGAGACTATTTTGAATACAGCAGACGCTCGATAACGTAAACACGGGATAATGAAAACTTGCGCTAATGTAAACACAAACTTCGTTCTATAGGATCAAACGGAACGCGCGATAACGTAAACAATGTGTACGCTCGATAACGTAAACAACTCTCGGCGCACGGAAACAGCGCGACGGTAAAATGCTGAAGCCTCGATGATTTATGTCGGGCGTCGGGGAGTCCCCGATTTATGATGTAGAGTGTAGGCGATTCACCTCTGCGATAAAATACGACAAACTCGGTCAGTCGTAACATCGTTTAGGATACGTTTATACATAAGTATGTATTTCATTTTTGAACTTAACTGAATACATTGCACGCGTTAATATATTTTACGACTGTGCCTTCCACATCCTATAAAAGAAAGTGTTTAAAGTTGAGTGAGAAAGTGAAAATCATAGACGAAGTTGCACTAGGTGCAGGAGTGACACACTTAGCCAAAAATATGGAGTATCGAAAGCAACAATCTGTAAAATTAAGCGTATGAAAACTCAAATTTTACAAAGAACGTGCAATACATTTGGAGGTCTAGGAAAAAGAAAAACTTTAAAAATGCGAAGGCACCTAAAATGGAAAATTCCCTGTATAAGTGGTTTTTAAAACAACGGGAAAATCATGTCCCAGTTAGTGGGAGAGAGCGAAACTGTTAAATGAAAAACTGAAAGAAACTGAAAATTTCGTAGCTAGTGATGGCTGGCTACAACGATTCAAAACAAGATATGGAATTCGACTGCTGTCTATATCTGGTGAAAAATTATCAGTACAACCACAATTAGTGCAACCATTCAAAGAAAAATTGATGAAAACAATTACCGAGCTAGATTTAAGAATGGAACAAATTTACAACGCAGGTGAAAAGTGGCCTTTATTGGAAAATGTTACCAGAGAAAACCTATGCTGCATCATTTGAAAAATCTGCCCCGGGAAGAAAGCCGGAGAAACAACGAATAACGTTTCTAGTCTGCACTAATGCTAATCGTTCACACAAAATAAAGCCACTGATAGTTGGGAAAGCAAAAAATCCGCGCTCATTTAAAAATGTTAATATCCCTGTTGATTATCACTGTTCAAAAACCGCTTGGATGACTACCAGTATATTCCTGAAATGGTTCCACAGGTGCTTTGTCCCTCAGGTATGACAATCAATTATCACAAATGCTCTAATCATAATTTGAAGATGTGCTTTCAATTTGTAGGTAAAAGGTTTCCTAAAACAACAGAAGCTTCCAATAAAAGCGTTGTTACTATTGGATAATGCACCAAGTCATCCTCCCGAGCAACAACTGAGAAGCAGGGATGGGTCAATTTTCGTCATGTACATGCCGCCCAACGTAACACCGTTAATTCATCCGATGGACCAGAATATAATAAGACTCACCAAACTATACTATAGGAAGTTTCTACTTCGTCTGTCTTATCAAAGAATCCTGAAAACTTATCTGAGGCTTTAAAAAAAGTAACATTACGAGAAGCTGTTTTAGATTTACATATGGCCTGGAATGAACTTAACCAGCAAACTATTCAAAAATGTTGGAACAATCTCTTTTGTACCAATAATGAAGATGGTGAAGAAGACGATGTCCCCTTAAGCGTAATTAGAGAACGTTTGCGATCCAATAATGATAATGTTATTAGTGTGTCATTGGATGTTGTTGACTTATTGAAAACAGTGAATCCCAACATTGTTTGTACTCCTGCTGATATTAATTCATGGAATGAAGATAAGCAGACGAATGATACTGATAAGGAGGAGGATATGGACAGTGAGGATGATGAGAACGATCTCATTGAAGTCAGAAGTGTAGTGACTGACGCGCAAGCTATACAAGTTTTTAACCAAGCTTTAGATTGGGCTGAAAGAAAAGAAGTTTCATACACGGATATTTTAGTTCTTCGTAAATTACGGGCGCAGGCATTGGAAGACAATGCTAAGCGCAAATTTACGCAGACAAAAATTGTTAATTATTTTTCTTCTAATCAATCGCTGTTAGAATATTTGTTTATTTTGTTATAAATAGTATGTATTAAACGTTTCTTTTAATAAATCAAATATTATATAAATCACGTTCGCTAATGTAAACATTTCGACAATGTGAACCACACTTGGATTAAATTAGTTTACATTATCGAGCGTCTACTGTAACATAAATTCGATTTTTCGTAACAAAAAATGTTTTGTTTTGTTTACCTTGCGACAGACCCTATACTTTATTTAACTTTTGTATGAAAACACGAATAAATCACTACTATTACAACAAAACGCAATTCATGATAGAAACCGTCTCGTATTGTTTTACTTACCGGTCCTTCCGAACTGATCGGGCCTGTCTACCTGATCTGCTCCATCTCTTCGGTACACGTCGTTCCTATCGTATTCGTTCTGCAAATACGGATTTGCACTGCTGCTGTACGGATTGTTCTGGTAGTTCGACTCCTGCGTGTACGGGTTATTGTAGTTAGAGGTGCTAGAAGGGCCGTACGGGTTATTTAAATCTTGAGCTTTCGTGCAACAGGTGACTAGAAATAGCAGCAGTGGACATGTTCTGTAAGCGTATCTTGATAACGTCATTCCACTTTGGCGATCTGAAACAAAGACATATCCTTTATTTATGTATACGTAATTGTTCGATTACAGGGCAATATAATGGTAAATCATAATAAATCAAGCCGAAAAGCAGGCTAATGATCGTTTTATTAAAAATGCTAAAAATAGACATGTTATTAAAAGCAAAAAAACCAATGAAAAGCCAGCACGACGCTTAGCGCATCTGTCTAATATTTCTTTTACTAACATTGCAATACATTAATTAAATGTAAAAGTTTTGATGTGTTCGGTTTCAATGCAAAAGCTATTACAACCATTCAAAACCTTATTATTATACCATTAACAAAATTACGGGTTGTCCAATAGGGACGCAGGAAAGTAAACGTCAATTTGACATAGACGCCATCTTTGTTTTCTGTCACCGACATGTCATTTTGTTAGTTGAATGTTTACCATTGATCGCTATGGAATCGTATTCGATTGAAGACCGCATTAAAGTTATTCAAGAGCACTACAAAAATGGTGCAAAAATAAAAAACACGTTTCGCGCGCTTCGTGAACATTTCGGTCGCAACAACCGCCCAAACGAAACAACCATCGGTCGTCTGGTGCGTAAATTCGAGGCAACAGGTTCTGTGGCAAATCTGCCGGGCTCTGGCCGGCCAAGGAGCGTTCGCACACCGGAAAATATGGCTGTTGTGAAGGCGAGTGTGAGAGACGATCCGAAACAATCAACAACGCGTCGATCCCAAGAATTGGGCATTTCGAGAACCAGTTTGCTCCGCATTCTCCACAAGGATTTGAATGTACACGCCTACAAGATCCAATTCACGCCAGAGCTGCATCGGACCGACCATTTTTCGCGCCGAACGTTCTCAGATTGGCTCCTTGAACACCGCTAAATTGATGCCAATTTTTCATCAACAATCATGTTCACCGACGAAGCGCATTTCACTTTGAATGGGACGGTAAACAAGCAAAACTGCCGCATCTGGGCGAACGAAAATCCCCGTGTGTATCAAGAGCAGCCGATGCAACCTCAAAAAGTGACTGTGTGGTGTGCATTGTGATCAAAAGGCATCATCGGACCTTACTTTTTCGAAAATGCGGCCGGGGACGTCGTTACCGTCAATTCTGAGCGATATCACGTGATGATAGAGGACTATTTTTTGCCGCAACTTGAAGGAATGGATATGGACGATGTTTATTTCCAACAAGACGGTGCAACATGCCACACAACCAACGTCAATATCCATCGATTGCAGTCCTTCTTCGGTGATCGCGTGATTTCGCGCAGAGGAAATGTGCCATGGCCACCAAGATCGTGCGATTTGACTCCGTTGGACTTCTTTTTATGGGGATATTTGAAAAGCAAAGTCTACGTCAACAAACCAGCCACCCTCCAAGAACTCAAAAACAACATCATTGCCGAGATAAATGCCATAGAACCGACCATGTTGAAAATTTCGACCATCGTGTGGACGTCTGTAAATCCAGTCGTGGTGAACATTCGAGCGATATTATTTTTCATACATAAATGGTATAAATGAACCTTCAAAATAAAGTACCCAACTTGATTTGAATATCAATCTTTCTTGTTTTAATATGCGTTTACTTTCCTGCGTCGTTTTGGACAACCCCATATATTTCCTGATATTTTCTGTCGAAAGTTATCCCCCGCTTTGAAAAAGGTGATTCCAACGATCTTTCAAGTTATAGACCTATTTCACTTGCTGAGATACTTGAGATTCTTTTGAAAGATCAGCTGAATTTTGAAAGCAACTACCTATTTACTGACTGCCAATTCGGTTTCAGATCACGTAAGTCTATTTCTTTAACTATTGACAGCTTCATAGAGAAAATGAATATAGCTTTTAAAGGTGGTGCTCGATGCTTATAGCTAATTTTTGTGATCTTACTAAGGTCTTCGATTGTGTCCGACGTGACATTCTTCTACGAAAATTGTCACATTACAAGTTCTACAGGGTGACTTCGAAGTTGAGTCATTTATTTTAACAGTGAGTAGATCTGATCAAAAGAAATGTTTTTTTCCTTTACCATTTTTCTGGTAAAATTAAAGTAACAAAGTTATAGCCCTTTGGAAGTTTGAGTACCGCCCTGTCTCAATAATATCATGTGCTCGTGTTTGGCGACAACGGATATAATCCGCCTTATCGGTTCGTCGCATCGGAAACAAAAAAGCGAAGGAATTTGGAACGATGTTTTTACAATTATGTTATTCAGTTCAGTTATACATACAGTCAGTGTCAGTCGCGTGTGAATAGTGACTGTTGCGTGGCTCAAACGAAATAAAAAATGGCACATGTTTATGCGGATCGGTTTCCCAATCGAGTGCAACCAACCCCTCGTGCCTTTGTTAATGTAGTACAACGGGCTCTTTGGTTTATCTTCCTTCTACAATCATTATCTGAAAATTAATGACTCAACTTCAAAGTCACCCTGTATAGTAGTACTGGGTGCGCCATCTATTACTTTTTTTACCTATAAGTTTATGTGTTACCATGTGAGTCAGAAGTCATGTGGTATGCATAAATGAACTGTCAAAGGTATGCCATTTATAGTCATGGATTCGTTTACAACACAACAGCGCATTTTGGTTATCCAAACTTATTACGAAAACGGTCGAAATATAAAAAATACTTTTCGCAAAGATCGCATCGTTTTGGCCGACATGGACGCCCTGCAGAGCCTGGAATTCGTTGGATTGATAATCGTTTTGAAGGTCGTAGACCCTACCAACATGCTCGTCCAGCTCGTACTCGTGAAAACATAGCCGCAGTGAGTGAAAGTGTGCGAGAAGATCCAACCACCTCGACTAGGCACCGTTCGCAACAATTGGGAATTAGTGAGACCACTTTACGCCGGATTTTACACATTAATTTACACCTCCATCCATACAAAATCCAACTAACACAAGAATTGAAGCCGGTAGACTATCAACAGCGGCGTGTTTTTGTTAAATGGATGCTGGAAAGAGAAGACGGATTTTCGGCCGAAGTGTTATTTTCTGACGAGGCTCATTTTCACCTCAATGGGTACGTGAATAAGCAAAATTGCAGGAAAATCCACACCAATATCATGAACAACCTCTCCATCCTGAAAAAGTAACTGTATGGTGCGGATTACGGACTGGTGGCATCGTTGGACCATTCTTCTTTGAAGATGCCGAAGAACAGGCCATTACCGTCAACGGAGAACGTTATCGCGGCATGTTAACAGACTGTTTGTGGCCACAATTGGATCGTATTGGTGCCGACAATCTTTGGTTTCATGAAGACGGAGCAACGGGTCGCACATCTCGCCAAACAATCGCCTTTTTGCACACGAAATTTCAAGACCGCATAATTTCACGAAATTCAGATGTCGGTTGGCACCCGAGATCGTGCGATTTAACACCTCTTGACTATTTTCTTTGGGGATTTTTGAAAGGAAAAGTGTATGCGATTGGTCCCCGGACAAGACCTAAAGCGCAATATTCGGACTGAAATTGCGGCCATAGACCCGATTATTCTGGGAAAAGTCATTGAACATTTTGATGTTCGGATGTTGGCTTGCAAACGAGGCCGCGGTGGTCACACGACTGATGTTATTTTTCATACATAAATGGCATAAACCAAACTTCAATTTATCAATAAAAAATTCTATTTCACCTCGTAAAAAGCGTGTTGATTTTTCAAATGGAAAAAAAAGTAATAGATGACGCATCAGGTTCTTATTTGAGCAACAGACAGCAGCTTGTAACCTTCGACGACGGTTTCATAAGGTGTCCCACATGGTTCTGTGCTGGGTCCACTTTTATTCTTAATATAATTAAATGACTTTTTTTCCACAATTGCATAATTTTGAAGCCTACCAGTTTCAACAAGATGACGCGATATCCCATACCGTCAACGAGTCTTTAACAGTTGTAAACGAAATATTTGGTGGAAAACTGATATCGCGACGACGGGAAATTCCTGAGCCCAGATCCTTGCCACTGGACTTTTTCCTCTGGTTATACCTCAACAGCCGCGATTACGCTAACAAACTGACGTCTGTTACCTAGCTCAAGCATTATTAAAGATATAAATTATCTTCCCTGGGCTTTGTAGTCTTTTTTTTCTATAATTTTTCAAAATCTTTTTGTGTTTAGATATAACCCGATAATTTTTGCGCATTCTTGTTTCATTTTTCTTAAATTTCCATTTGCATTGGAGACAATGGTAAACTTCTTCATTGTGAATATACTAAGTGACATATAAATTCAGCCTTATCAGTTGGTTAGGTGTTGTCAGGCATGACTTCGAGAAGGACGTACGCAAAGAGCAAGGGGCACTGGACGCCGCCGTAGAACAACAGACCGTGAAGATCGCCGCCTAAGATTATTGGCCTTAAGGGACCGTTTCTCCACTACCAGGTCAATTGCAAATGAATGGTTTGCAGAACACGGAAGACCTATTGGCATGCGAAGTGTTTACCGACGAATGAGAAGTTTTGGCTTGTTTTCATACCGGCCACACTGGGTCCTCCCTTTAACTCGAGAACACCGACGTAATCGCCTTGAGTGGTGCAGGCAACGGTCACTCTGGGATCAGGAATGGAACAGTATTGTCTTTAGTGACGAGTCTCGATTCTGTTTAGGCATGCACGATGGTCGTGCCAGGGTTAGAAGGCGACGTGGTGAAAGGAGGAATCCACAGTTTTTTGTTGAAAGACATGTTCATCACACTGTTGGAGTTATGGTTTGGGGTGCTATAGCTTACGGTTCCAGGTCACCTTCAATCTTCATCAGAGGTAACATGAACGCGCGGCGTTATATCCACGAAGTTTTAGAACCCCATCTTTTACCCTATCTTGACACCCTGGCAACTTTCCAACAAGATAATGCCCGACCACATGTTGCAAGAGTCACAATAGACTCTAGAAGCACTTCGAGATGAGTTGGTGGTTGCCTGGAATGAGATACCACAGGAGGACATTGACCACCAGATCAGAAGCATGCCTAGGCGCGTTGGAGAATGCGTAGCACATCAGGGTG